ATGGCAGGAAATGTTTTTACTGCAGCGCAGGGGTTCTCGGTCGAAAATCATCAACATACCTACTCCAAATCGGGGGAAAAAAAAAAAAAAAAAAACTTTTCCGAAAAAACACCCAAAAAAAAATAAAAATAAAAAAATCGAAAACTGATTCCCTATATATCGCTGCAACGGCCCTGGCAACACGGCTATATACACCTACTACCTGAATTAACAGAGAGACCCAATAGCCCAATAGCTCGACAGCCTTTCAAAAGTTCGGTGTTAGGGTTTGTACCAGCATCAGGTCGAATCTTTCGTTCCCTGATGCGAATCGTTTTCCTTGATTCGAATCCTTTCTCATTTTTCTTTCCAATTTAAAGTTGCTTTTTTCCTTTTTTTAATCTATTCTCTCTTTTTTTTCTCTCTCTAATTTATTTTTCTTTACCCTGATTTGATTCGAGAAAACACAGATCCGACCAGGGTCTGCCCCTTTCTTTAGCCCCAGTTCCCTGCCTCTCTCTACCCTTCCCCCCCCCCCCCTTCAACCCCCACCCCCGCCCCCCTCGGGGGAGGGGGGGAGGGAGTGTGTGCCCTTTCTTCCATGTATGGGATGGGATCTAAATCGCAAAGCAGAATCATTGGCTCAAAGTAGGTATACTCACACAAGGACTTTTTCGAGTGAGCTCTGGACGGGATTACGTCCAGATACAGATGCATATCTAGGTCTGGCCGTAATTGCAGTGAGATCTAGGACACCAGAGTGGCCCGTGCGACCACTTGCCCGGCCGGGTAAAAAAACTTTGAAAAAAAAAAAAACCGTTTTTTAATTTTTATTTTTTTTCACGTTAAAATTTGATTAAAAAAATCGATGTGACCCTGAGGCAAAAGTTGTCCAGTTTATTTTTCTGCATAGCATTTTTTCTCCAGTTTTCTTTTTTTTCTTTTTTTTTTCTGGGACCTTCTTTGGTACTTCCACGGCCGGGCCGCCCGGGCAAACAAGGTGACCCGGGCGGCCCGGATGGTAGCCTAGAGTTGGATACATTTAGGCCAGTGCTACCCTCTGCCCCCGAATAAAACGTACAGTCGTTATATCCGTATTTGGTCCAACTTTCAGTCCAGATGCGGCGAAGATGGCGGTACGTTCTATTCGGGTGAAGACGGTATTGTGAGTATATGCCATCAGGCTTATTGATCAGAAAACCCACCGTTGACGTCTCAAGAAAAACATGATGATTAATTAACGATGAGCACTGCCACGTGCCTATAAGAATCTACTGCCACGTGTCTATACGCTGCGCTCGCGCTCGCGTCTCATCGTTAATAAGAAATTGATTGCACACTAATTACATCCGTTGATTACATCGATCGGTTAATTGGCTTCGCTCGCGCTCTCGTCTCATCGTTAGTAAGCGCCTGATTGCAAACCAATTACATCC